CTGTAAATAATGTTTTGTAAATAAACCTGTGGCAGAGCAGGCTGTGTTGGTGTTCTCTGGCTTATTTCCCATATAATTGGGACCCTTACTTTAGCATCTATTTTAGAGGTTCCAGCACACAGAATCACAGAATGTCAGGGATTGGAAGGGACCTCGAAAGATCATCTAGTCCAATCCCCCTGCCAGAGCAGGAACCTAAATGAGATCACACAGGAAGGCGTCCAGGTGGGTTTTGAATGTCTCCAGAGAAGGAGACTCCACAACCTGCCTGGGCAGCCTGTCCCAGGGCTCCGTCACCAGGGTCCTTACATCCATGTTTAGTTGGTTCAGCCAATGGTCTTTGTCCATTTAACTGCAGATTTAATGTGGAAATGCAGTTGCATTAGGATTAAAGGATACATACGCAGCTGGTCACTTCAGACTTTTTTTTCTAAACCCAGTTACAGCCGTATCCATCCATTAGCCGAGTCCATCTTTTCAGAGGTCCTGTGTTTACCCCTAAGCCATGAGAAGTATTAGAAGCCACTGCTGTAGTTTGATGAAATGCATGTAAGCAGTACTTCATTCTCCTGCAGAACAGACTGTCCTGAGGTGGGGAATCTTCACTCTGATGTTCCTAAGACTTTTTCCTACCTGGGAAGAGTAGTCACCTCAAGATTTCTTTTTCACACAGAATCACAGAATGTTAGGGATTGGAAGGGACCTCAAAGATCATCTAGTCCAACCCCCCTGCCGGAGCAGGAACCTAAATGAGATCACAGAGAAAGGTGTCCAGGCGGGTCTTCAGCGCTTGAGCTAAGTCTAGGCTGGTGAAGAAGGTGAGTGCTGGCCATTCAGCAATTGGTTACTTGCTGTAGATAGTGTTTCCATAAATGTATAATGCTCAAAATTCTTAAGGCTACAAATTAACACTCCTGCTCCTGGGAAGGTCTTGCTTAACCATAAATGACAGAGGGTTAAGAAGCAGAGATCTAAAAGAACTGCAACTTAAAGCAAGAAGGCTGGTTTCCATTCAACATGAGAAGCAGCAGAGTACACACAGAGAACCATAGTACACACATACCTCAGCTACTCCAGTCACCACAGCTATAGTAAGAGATACAGCTGACCAGATAAGCTCTTCCTGTGAGACTTGTTAGTTTATCAGGAAGTTCAGTCTTAGTAAGAGGTGTCTTTAACATGAAGTATAGATAATAAAGTTGCCACATGGCAGATATCCAGGTTAGAAGATAAACCCTGATGAGGCTGACACAAGATTATGATCTTGTGTCATGCATATGTAAACATCAGCCCATCCTTGCAGATGATTGAGAGGGGTTGGTACATCAGATGGTTGTGCTGCCATTCAGAGGGACCTTAACAGATAGGAGAAATGGGAAGAGGAGACACACAAAGCTGAATGAAGGGGCAGGCAGAGCCCTGCATGCACCAGTACGCAACTGGCTGGAAAGCAGCTTTGCAGGAAAGGACTTGCAGGTCATGGTGCTCAGCAAGTGATATTTGAGTCAGTAACATGCCCTTCTAGCAAAGGGGGCCAACAGTATCTGGGCTGCATGAGCAAATGCATCACTAGTAGCTGCGGGGAGGCAAGTCTTCCCTTCTATTCAGCATTGGTCAGACATCCAGAGCGTTGTGTCCAGTTTTGGGCTCCTCAGTTCGAAGAAGGACATGAACTTACTGAAGCAAGTCCAGTGAAAGGCCACTGGGTTTTGAAGGGATTGGAGAATCTGACATATGAGGAGAGGCTGAGAGAGCTGGTACTGCTCAGCCTCAAGATGAGAAGGTTTGGGTGGCTCTTACCGTTGTGTGTAAGTACCTGATGAGAGGGAGTAGCAAACGGGGACAGACTCTCCTCAGTGGTATTCAGTGAAAGGAGAAGCAGCGGTGGGAACACATCAAAATACAGTAACATCCATTTGAAGGTAAGAAAAAAAAAAAACAACTTACTGTGAGAATTGTTAAACACTGGAACAGGTTACCCAGGGAGGTTGTGGAGTTACCCTCCTTGGAGGTATTAAAAAACTGACAGGATACATTCCTGAGCAACCCACCTGGAGCAGGGAGATCCCTTCCAGCTTCAACTGGGAGGAGCTACTGGATCAAGCTGGGCTGATAGAGAAGCAGCCGCTCAGTTCCATGTTCTCAGGTACAGCCAGTAGCAAGCCTGAGCATGTATTCCCAACAGGCACTCCTGCACACAAGCTATACATGTATATAGTATGTGCATATGTATATGTGGACGCTGTACAGGAGTGGCCTGGGGAAGAAATCACAGCAGTCACACAAGCACAGCGCAAACAGCCTGTTCCCATTCCCTTCTCTGGCCAGGCAGGATGAACCTGTTTGCAGGAAATACATATATACATATATACTATGGATCCCTCCAGTGTTTCAGACCAGCTGTCCAGTAGCTGGCTTCACGATCCGGAGCCTACACAGACACACACAGGGGAGCCCTCCAGTAGTTGGCCTTAGGCATTGGCTCCATGCAGCAGCTGGCCCCAGGATTCACTGGTCTCCCAGTCACCTTACACAAGAGATGTAAACTGTACTCCAGTAGCTAGTCCAGGCTTACCGGTAGCTGACTTCCAGACGCAAGAGTAGCTGGCTTGGACCTCCTGGGAGCTCTGGCTGCTCAGCCTCCAGCATCCTGCCAGGCTCACAGCCATGCCAACTCATGGCTCTCCAGTCTCTTACCCTACTCACTCACCAGCTACTCTGACTTGATTTCTGCTAGTGATTACAGACGGCTGTACACAGTCACACCACATGCACTCGGGTATTGCCAGTTGCTGACGCTTAGACCTCCACATGCACTGAACAGAGTCTCTTCACACAGGAAAAGAAAAAAAAAGAAATTAAAAAAAGAAAAAAAAGAGTAACAACTAAGACAGGACAGATTGTGCTGATGACACACATGGCATGGCCAGACACATGTACTGTGTACGTGCAGCCTGCCCCTTCTCTGCCCTTTTCCCATGCTGCTTCGTCACCTTGATCACTCCCTTTTCCTGCCCCTACACATCCCAGAAGTATGCAGAGTCCCCAAAGACTCTTCCCCTGCACCCCATGGCCCTCCGAGGGAGTAACCTCCTCTTAGTCTGCAAGGTGATCCAAAGAGCCCTTCCCCCTGACTCTGCTGGACAGGTTTCATGCACAGATACCGTGGATATAGTCCTGTCATAGCTCTGGGAGGTGCTGGGTTAGAGTCCTGCTCTCCTCCCATCATTGTTTCTCTCCTCTTTGCTCCTTGGTGGTTGTGGGCATGAGCTTTTGATCTAGAAAGAGTCACTAAAAACAACACCTACAAACCAGTAAAAACTCAGATAAGAAAAGAAAAAGAAAGCAAATGTACAATTTGTTTCTTCTTTGCTCATCCTATGGGAAACCTCAAAGCATTTACTGGATCAATTTGCAAGGAGTCATTAAATATTTCCCCAAAACTGCCAAGAGAACAAGAGTAGGTTTCATGTCTTTGAAGTGTAGAAGCCTTGATGCTTACCACAAAGAGGAGTTTCACCTGCAGTGGCCAAGATGTTACCATGCTTAAAACCATAAACATGAAGCACAAACACTTTCTGAGCAGCAATAGCTAAAGTAAAGCAAGCAAATTGACCACTTTATTCCAGTCTGATGCAAGTGAATTGTAATAACTTGCCTCCCAGTGACACCATCAAAAACTACAGTCCTGCTGTACTGGAATGGAGTCACTACTGCTTTAAATGAGATCTACTCTTCAGGCACAGGAAAGTAGGAAACTAAACAGTCTGAAAAGGAGACCAAGAGTCAGAGAGAGAGAGAAAGACCATTTTCAGACTCGTCACCTCTGGAGGCTACGTGGAATAGCAAATATACACACATTCTCTGCTGCTTAAGTCAGCAATTCTCATGGGGAGCTGAACAAATACAGCAGACACATGTTAATGGAAAAACGCCACGTTTTATTGAATGCAAACAGTGGTTGGACAGTGTAGTTATTCAAAAGGTCTGTTCAGTTTGAGAGTTTCTAGTCCAGGAAGCGGGGCTCAGTGCAGTAACACTTAGAGCCAGACAGTACATTGCAATTACACTGCAGTTTTCACCGACAGCAGTGAAAGAATCCCTACTGCAGCAGGGAGACAGATGTTCCTTGGTCTGCTGAATCCTCGTCCACACACCGAGACACCTCCTCACCATGTGCTGCCCGTCCTTATGACGGTCTTTATTTGTAAACATGCATTCTTTGGACTGCTTTGCTACTCTGGTGCCCAGCCTGGCTGTCCAGAAACCACACTGGGAAACAATTCATTTTGGGGAGGGAAAAAGATTAAAAAAAAAAAAACCCAAACAAGCAAGTTTCGAAACTCAAGAACAGAGTAGGATTCCAAACACTGCCAGTTTAATCTGGCTAAGGAAAAAAAAGTGACAAGACAGTTAGCCAGTAAAATCCATTAGAGACAGAAAAGCTACAGTAGGTTAGCTTTTTCCAGCAATGATAACAGAGATTCCCAACACATTCTGCCTCCCCACTCTTAACGCAGGAGTGAGGGAGGGGGCAAGGGAAAACATCCTGATAATGAGGTGGCACAGGAGAAAAACTAAAATTGAAGACAGCAGTGGTGCCGAGATGGAGGCTTCCACCTTTTAAGGTTAAATCATCGTTCTTTGTTCCATGGAACAGAAGAATGTTCAGCCATTCCCAGCACCTGCCACCAGGTCGGTTCTTGCTACTTCCACCAGACAGTGGTGGAGATACAGTCTTTCTCCTCCAGTCTTGAGGGAACAGAGATTGTGCACTCACCTTGACCACAGCCCCCAGCCTGGAATACACTGTGGCTAGGAAGTGGTGACAGGAGAAGAGGTTCTTTCTTGGTGGATGTGCAGAGTAAAGTCTAGGAGCAGTGAATCCTACATGAGTAAAGAACTGTGCTGGCATAGTCTCCGTTGGTAGCAATCTGCCTTGTCAGGCAGAGGGATAGGACAATGGCGGGGAGGGGAAGAGTATTGAGTGCAGGGGTCTCGAGGGTACGCCCACTCCAAGCTCCTCAGCGTGCTGTTTTGGCACGAATGGTGTGACACTTGATACACAGCACGTGCCCATCCAGTGGAAAGCACCCATTCTCATCTGCTTCAATAGACAAGGGCTTCCCACAGTCCTAAACAGGGAAAGAAGAGAGGGAGGGAGCTCAATGACAGCCAACAGCAGGGTAAATGCATTCAGGGGTGTAAGAAATGCCCCACCAGATCAGGCTGGGCTCACAGCCCACTGCTCTGCCTCTGATGGTGCTAATGGGAGATACTATTGTGAGGGAAGAACAAGCCCCTTCTGTGATCCCAGCACGTTCCCCTGGTACACACAGCTGCTGTATTGAGGGATGTTAGAGACTACAACCCTGCACAGCCTTTGTTGATGGACCTGTAGCCTGTGAATGTCTTTAGCTGAACCTGCTTCAAAAATGCTCCAGATTCCTTCAAAACCACCTTAGTGTTTGGTCATGATAGAAAACAAAGATGCCCAGCTGCTGGTGATGGGCATGGGAGATGTGGGAGGAGTGGGGCCACCAGGCTTTACCTCACACTTGTAACATTTCATGTGGAAATTTTTCTCCAATGCCACCACACGCACTGTCTCATCCTTTCCAGGCTCTGGCATGATGGGCTCACTACAGACTGAGCAGCGTGGAGCATACTTCCTGCAACACACAAAAATACAGAGGAGAGCATGACCACCATGGTGACATTCAATGCAGGTTTCTCACTGCCGTACAATAGTGTTAGCAGCAGAGAAATAATAAATCACAAAGAAGGTTAGGTAGGAAAAGACCTTAATTGCTACAAGGTACACTGCTGACTCCTTTTTAACTTCACATCCAACCAATCACATGGACAACACAACCCTATACTGCAGCAAAATTGAACAGGTGTGAGGCCATCTGCCTTCTTTCAGACACCACATGCACATGCTCTCTCCATACCTGTGGTAGTCATCCACACAGTGAGGCTGGTTGGCCTGGTCCACAATAAAAGAGGTCCCCTCAAGAGGGGTATGGCACATCACGCAGGTGAAGCACTGGGGATGGTATGAGTTACCAGTGGCCTTCAGCATCCGGTCTGTGATGGTCTGTTTGCAGACACTGCATTTCTCCAAGGTCCCCTGAGCACAAAGAAAAACAAGTAAGAACATCAGTCCCCCACCCTGAGAAGACTACACCACAGACAGGCAAGATGGAAGGAGGAAGGGAAAGTGAGAGAGAGCAGCCAACGTGAGCTCAGCTCTCTCCAGCAGCTTTCATCCCAGCCACTCACAGCATAGCAGTCCTCGCAGAAGGGCTTCTCATCCACGTTGTAGAACTGCTGCCCCTGCAGCTGCTTCTCACATTTGAAGCAGGTGAAGCATTCCACATGGAAGAGGCGGTCCAGGGCTCTCACAGCTGGCTGGGTTCGTGACAGGGGCTTCCGGCAGAAGCCGCAGAGCTCTGGCAATGGAAGAAGAAAGGGATCAGGAGAGAGGAAAGCCCACCACAGTTTCAGTCCTACTGCTGTCCACTGAGGGAACGCACCAGAAGTAGCAGCCTCTGCTGGGGGTGGATGCTCCATATCCTTCATTAGTTTCTGGGTCAACATCTCCAGCTCTTCTACCTCCTTCATGGTCAGACAGGAATTCCCCCTAGGTGGATCTGCACTGGAGCCCGTGGGTCTATGCTGCAGGAAGAGGAAACATTCAGTCCCAAAGGACACATAAAGACAGACTCCCTCCAACCTCATAATAAACCTACTTCTCTTGCCTTTACTCTCAATCTCTCTCTCTAGGGAACAATCTGCCATCCACTGTGCTTGCTTCTTTCCACTTTCACATGAAGTCCTGTCCCTCTCCACCATGGTCTTTAGTTACATCTCTCTTTCAGATGGGTAAAACCTTCCCTTAGCCTGGGACAGACCCTCCCTCCTCATCCTCCAACTCCCAGTGGTGCTGAGTTTGTCCAAAGACACTGGTTCCATGGCTCTATCCCTTACCGTGTCTTTTGCAGCAGTAGGTTGTTCTGTGGGACGTGGCTTCTCCTGCACTTGGGGTCTTTCCCTCTGCTGGGCATAGGTGAAATTGGGAGGCTGTGGCCGAGAGGAGGGACCTGAAGGTGAAGGGGCTGTGAACTGAGTCTGAAGGGAGGTAGGATATCTTGTAGAGTTTGAGGGAACCACGGGAACACTGGCACCTGATTTGGACCCAGACTTAGGGGAGCCAGCAGCAGTGGGTGGGGTGAATTTAGGGGTAGGCTGAGCAGGAGGGAGAGAGGGGGGTGGAGGGACTGGTGCTAGGGGCTCCTTGCATTGCTGTGGGGCTGCCCATGGGGCTGGAGTGGGGGTCAGATCCACACCAGGGGGCTTGAAAGATAAGCTTCCACTTGGCTTTGGAGTGAACTTGGAAGGAAAGGAATGGGGAGTATCTCTGGGTGCAGATGGTATCTCCACATGGGCTTTTGGGGCTGATGGTTTCTCCAGAGAACCTGTGGATCCTGGAGATACCTGTAAAGGGAAGCAGCAGAGAGAAACAGGCTGTTATCAGCAAGGTGGCAGAGAAAATACATAAGTCAGCAGCAATCCCAGACCCACAGTGCTCAGAGCTCCCACACAGTTACATATTTAGCAGTCCTGACAAGATGCAAGGTCTGTGCTTTCTAGTCCTTGGCGCACGCTTGAGCACTACGGTTTATCCAGGCATTTTAATCCTCAGCAGCACCCTTCTCACCACCTCCATTCAGCAAACCAGTCATCTCTCCTTCCACCTGTGACATTCTGGAGAGCTCACCCGGGATTTGAAGGGGTCATTCTTCTCCATGTCATCCAACATTACGGACAGTGAGTCAATCTCAAGATCAATGCTGCTCATCTTGCCACGTACCTATACCACCATCCATGAGGAAAGAGGGAGCAGAGCACGTTACAGGAACAGCCAGAGAACCAAGTGTATCCCCTTGCAATAGCAGATTTTGACACTTTGGACTGTGGTACAGATCTGCTCCTTGCTTTGAGATGATAGCAAGTTGGTGAGGATGAACAGGGCACAGCCTCCAAGGTCTACAAACAGCCCAAAGAAACTCACAGACAGATTTAGATGGGAAAAGACATCTGGACATTTCTAGTTCAACACCCAGCTCACAGCAGGGCTAAATCCCAAGCTAAACCATGTTGCTCAGGGCCTTGTCCAGGTGATTTCTGAACATCCCCAAGGATGCAGATTCCCCAGCTTCTCTGGGCACCTGTGCCAGTGTTGAGCTACCCTTGGAGGGGAACAGGTTTTTCTTCTGTCCAACAGGAATTTCCCTTGCTGCAATCTGCACTCATTGCCTCTTGCTGTGCCCCAGTAAGAAGAATCTTGTCTTCTCTGCAGCCCTCCTTTAGGTGTTGCAGACTGCAGTCAGATCCCTGCCCCGGTCTCCTCTTCCGCAGGCTGAACAAACCCAGCTCTCACATCATGCACTCCAACCCCCAGTGATAACTATAACCCCTTGCTGGATTCCATCTAGTTCAGTGTTCCTCTGGGGTTATTCTACTGGGGAGCCCAACTGGGAACAGTTCTCAAAGATGCAGCAAAGAGAGGAATAATCACTGGCCTTGTCCTGTGGACTACACTCTCACAAATGCAGCCCGGCATGTGGTTGGCCTTTATTGCCAAAGGGTGCATTGCTGGCTCACAGTCAACTCACTGTCCACCAGGAACCCCAGGTCCTTCGTCTGCAGAGCTATAGCCCAGCCAGTTGACCCTAACCTATGCTGGTCCATGGAGCAGTAGCCTTTTCTTCTTTCCCAGATCTCAGGGCTTCCTGCTGCTGAGTTCAGAGAGTAGTAAGAAGCTGTCTCAACTCACAGAGCATCACAAGAAACTATACTTCCCTTGACCTTACTCACCTGTGGGGCAGGTACCTTGCTCACAGGCTCTTCATCAAACATTGGTGGAGGAGGAGGAGGAGGAGAAGGAAAAACTTCTTCTGGGGCTGGTGGAAAAGGCTCTTCAAAGGGTGGTGGGGGTGGGGGAAAAGCACAGTTTGAGGAGAAACTTGCCTCCTCTCCAGGTGGGGGAGGAGGTGGCAGCGGCAGCTCTATGGGGAAGAATGAGAATAAAAGCAAGTTGGGATCATTTCTTACTCTTAGCCAGTACAAACCCCAGGAAGGGTCTTCAAGGTATGACAGCAAATAGTTCCTCAGTAACCAGGGGACCCCCAGCTCCCACCAAAGACAACTGAACTCCACAGGCTGGCTTTCACTTCATCCAAACCTATTTGCCACCATATAAACTTTCCTCAGTAGGTGCTGTAATTAGTCACTGGGAATAATTATTGTCTAATTAAGAAACACGTCTTACTATGCCCTTTCCCACTCCGCCTCTCATTCTTTGGTCCCTAGCACATGCTTCTCTCACCAGTAACTGGCTTAGATTGCTGAAGAGAGAGCAGCATTGAAAGGAATGCCAGTGGACAACCCAGGACCCTGAAGTGCCTGCATTATTACAGGAAAATAAGCTGGCACTTTGCAGCTGGCTAGTAAGCACTAAAAGAAACAAGTAGGTGGGGGGAAAAAAAAGCAAGTTGGACCAACTACCCTCATGTATATGAGGAACCTCTGAAACTGATTTATTTTTCTGGGAGATGAAAACAGCTTTTCTTTTGGAGGCTAAAACATCCCCACACTCAGTACAGATTAGGACATGAGAAATTTCCCAGAACTGTTTCAAGCAGGCTGAAAAGCACCCGAGCGCCTCAATCTCCTAGGAAAAAGACAAACCCATTGCTTCCACCTATTCATATTTGCCAAAGAGGCAGAACAGGCAAAAAGGGACATTTTCTACTACCCCACAACCAAATAACTGTGAATCCTCTTCCCTTCACCATGTATGGAAGAAGTTGTCCTCTTATCATCCAAGCATCAAAGAACACTGAAGACAAGGAGGCATAACTTCCACATCCCTTCTTCTGGACCTCTCTCTCCCTAGGTAGCCCCTACCAGCAGGATGGTGAAAGACCACGTTTTTAACTCCTGCTACTCCATGTGCAACTTTTAACAGCTGAAATCGAGTTGTCTCATCTTTATATCCAGCTGTTGTCAACAGACTTTACAAAGACTTCTCATCTGTAACCTAAGGGAGGCGGTGCTGCCCTTTCAGAAAACAGAGTGGAATGCATGAACTGCACTGGCATGCAGCATCTCTTCCAAGCCTTCTCATGCCACAGAAATTCTGCTTGGGGCAGGAAGTAATACTCAGCTGGTATTTTTTTTCTGTGAAACTACAGTTTGGGATCAAGCTTGTATACACTTGCCTTTTGTTTTATTGAAATGATAAATAATGTTGCAGAAACAGAGCTCTGATCTTCCCTCACATGACTTCAGATGCACTAAAAGCCTGTTTTATGATTTATTCATAGAAACAAAAAAGTTCCCCACAAAGTTATATACCAAATTTATAGAATGATCAATACCAAACATAACATTCCTACAAGCAATACTAATTTAGCCCTCCTGTCATTTAAGGCAAAGAGACCAATTGCTATGGCTTTATGTTATACTGCTATTCTTTTGGGGAATGTATGAGAAAAGGAGAGAAGGATTGGAGAGATGCATCAGAGAAGGATCAAATCAGAGGTATTTCTCTGATGACTGAGCTTCAGTGGTTCACTTCAGATGTTTTGCTGGCAGCCCTCACCCCATGCTGACACAGCAGCTTAAGCCAAATGGTTCTTTTGCAAACCTTTCTGTCAAGTTAGTTCTTCCATAATAGGCCTTATATGGAAGGGAGAGGTGGAGCAAACACCAAATCCTCCACTCACACTGTATATTGACAAATATTTTTTAACATCCATCTGTCTGCTATTGTACTTCACACAATGTATTTGTTGTGGCAGTTTTGAGACCTTCCAACAGACACATCCTTTATCCACACAGCTACAGCAGAAAATCATAAAGCCCAAGATGGGACCTTTGATTACAGATACAAGATTCCAGCCAACAACATATGAGAAAAAGGTCACCGAGTTAGCTGGTACAATACTAAGAGACAGAAGCACCAATGTGCTAATGCCTCTGTGACTCAAGAAATGGGAAAAAAAATAAATAATGGCTTGACAATTTGTCTCCTCGGAGCACAGGACCAGCCTTCCTACCATTAAGTCAGCTGCCCACTAACTTAGCATGCTAACCTAGAAAACATCAGTGTTGCACAGTCTACGCTGGACAGTGAAAGGAAAGAAATTTAAAAGAGCAGTTAGCATTATCTGACCACGCACATCCCAACTGAGGTGCACCCTGATGGGCTTGGGGTCATATGCAGCACCCAGAATTAGCAAAATGTTCCTTGGGAAATTTCCAGTGGTCCCACGCTGATCAATTCCAACCAGGAAGCCACACAACCAGGACCCTTCTGCTTCTTAGAGGACACAAAAACAACCAACCAACAAAATAACGAAACAAAAAACCACCCTACCACCACAGGAAATTTAAAAAAAAAAAGGGGGGGGGGATGGGAAGAAAAAGAAAACCACACTAAGTAAGAAGTCACTCTACACAGGAAAACACACCCAACTCAAACCACTAGGAAAAAAATACAAAACTCTACAAGCCACACAAACTCTACGTCTCACTTCCTGTTTATCATAGCTTCCACCACTTTTTCATGCAATTATTTCTTCTTGCCCATCTTCAGCAAAGATGGCAATTGCAGAGTCCACAAGAAGGATCTCTACAGTCAGAGACAACCAGCTTGAGCTGAGATAAATCAGCAAGGAGAAAAGCATGATTCATCACCATCAGGGTCAACTTCCCTTCAACATATTTACTCTCAGACACGCTGTCCAGTAACTGACTGCAATTACACAATTATGCACTCAGGGAATACTATGAAAAATCCATTGCATTCCTCCAGCAGCAATGGAATGCAGGATTTACTTCCCAGCTCCTTTCCTAATTGAGATACTGTGTATTTTGAGATCCCTTTATCATCATTTTATCT